TTGATTGCTGCCACATGTGTGCACACACATGAATATATACCCTGGTGCCGTCACATGGTGACACCATACCGTGTCAGTAGAGCTGTGCTCCATAGGGTTTTCACTGGCTGATTTTTCAGGAGTCCCAAGTTTGTCTTCTGCGGTGCCTCTGGATGGACTGGAACCTGCAGCCTTTTCGGTTTGCTTTACCAGATTTGGACATGATGTAGTCCGTGATAAAGCGATAAGCTCTGGATTCAGAGGACATAAATAAGAAAGCAGTCAAGGCCTGTCGGGGTGGGCGGATCCTCAGGAGCGACTCTGTGATTGTGGAAAATAGACAGCCAGACAGCAGGGCACAGGGCCTCCTTGTCTCTGTCAGGACCCAGAGAGTGGATGTGTTTTCAATGGGGTATATAGACTGGGGCTTACAGGGCTTTCAAAAGGCATACACATCAGACAGCAAACATTACCTAGTCAGTGGATCATATCATAAGAGGGGAACATAATAAACCAGCAATGAGGTGAGTCATCATCTTGACCTAGTGCTAGTTGGCCTGGGACACCCCTGACCCCTCCCCAGGGGGAGTAATCTGGATCAGTATCAGCAAGAGATGTCAAACCATAGTTGCTACATTTTACATTGGGTCAAGGCATGGAAGCGGATTGCTCAACAGGTAACCATCAGGCATAGTGACGTAGCCAGACACAGGCGTGAGTCACCTTTCATGGTAGCCCCTTTCTGACTGTTCTTGAATGGAGGCCTATCAGTTGGGGTGGGGTGCATTTTCAGCCTGGAAAACGTGTGTTTGAAAACATTTCTGTCTCAAAACAATGAGATCGTTCTCAAATCAGGGCTAGTTTTCTGTGCCATGGTTGCGAGTGTAGAAATGTGTTAGACCAGGTTGACTAGAGAAACAAATCCATAGGCACTCGTGTGTGAGAGAACTTTATATCAAAAAGCAATTGTACATTAAGAAAACATCCCAGCCCAGTCCAGATCAAGTCCATAAGTCCAATATTACCCCATATGTCAATACTGGTCCATAAATTCCTCTTTAGACTCACGCAGCCATGCAGTGACGAATGCAGGAAGATCACAGGTCAGTGGGTGGAAAGTCTTGTGGATGCAGTGGTTGTGGAAGCATCTCAACACTGGCGTGGGTCTCCACCTGGCTCCTCCAGGGTCCTCGCTGCCATCAGCATAGTTCATGTGGCTTGTCAATAGAAATGTCCCGCAGGGAGTGTGTGTCCCATCTCCAGGGAGAAGACAGGAGTTCCCAGAATCCTCAGGAGAAGGCCATGCCCACACAGAGGCCTCATTGGCTATGAACCTGCTTGACAGGCTAGACTCCACCCCTTCGCACATCTACAGGAGATTATGTAACTGCCACAGGAAATAAGGCCAAATACACGACCCAGTCCTCAGTTTACCGCAAAGTCCACTCCCTGGCCCAGGAGGGGCCAGGAGGGAGAACCTGGAACATATGGTAACAGGTGCTTAGTGAATTGTCAAACTAATTGAAGGATTTTATAAAACCAGGTGTTTCCATTTTACCAGCTGGGGAAGAGGAGCAAGCCACACCTCGGGGTAATTTAGCTAGGAAAGTGCAGGAAATAGTTGACAGGCTTAGAAAGCTGGAAGGGGAAGTGGACCAAATAAGGAAAAGCTGTTTTGTTCACCTTCAGGTGCCCCAGGCGGCACACCTAGGTAAGCATAGGGCTGCTAACCACAAAGTTGCCAGTTCAAACCTCCACAGGAGAAACAGGAAACTGTCTGCTCCTGTAAGATCTGCAGCCCTGGAAACCCTGTACAGGGTCCGCCTGAGTCGGAACTGACTGGCTGGCTGGCAGTGCATGTGGTTTACATTGGGGGTTGTATGCCTTACTGTGGCTCAGTTTCGCTCGCTGGCTGCCCCTTGTGAGCACAGTAAACTGCTCCACTGGGTTTTCGTAAGATCACCAGGCCTGTCTTCCACAGTGCCTCTGGGTGAGCTCTAAAGGATCCTCTCTGGCCACTAGTCCAGCACTTAACTAATAGCACCACCTACGGACTCCCCTCCCCCTCCTTTTTTAATAGGGGTCCATCTTTACAGTTAAATACACCCACACACTAATCTTATTTTACATTTTGCCTGTTTGCTGTTAGTACTTGGTTCAAATATGAATATTTTTGGACCTCTTGTACTTCTCCTGGTACTCAACACAACCACGCCCTTCTTCCTGGGTTGCTGGGTGGCTGGGAGCCACTGCTGTGGGTTTCAGAGAAGCGTCAGTTTGGGAGCATCTAGTACATGTTATGGGTGTGGGATTTGAGGGTGGATCGGCTGGATTATCTTTCTGGTCACTCGGGAGACCTGTGAGTCAGTAGATGGCCTCCCTGCCCCTCCCTGCATGCTTTTTCATGACCTGGCCTCAAACGCATGCCACACTGCTGCAAAACTGCATACGTAATTACAAATCAGTAGCAAGATTTTGATACAGCCCAATAAATTTATTGCACTTGAAGGTACTTAGTTTTAGATTGACCATCTTTTGCATTTTCAGTGTTCAAATTCCTTTTTTTTTTAAGTGATGTTTCCATCATAGCAAGCCAAATGCCCTTTTTTTGACAAAATTTAAAGTTTACAACCCCACTCCCTTGTATTTAAGACATACATTATTTTACTGGTTCAGGAAATCCTAAAGGCAGAAGACCATGCTGTGTTCTCTGCTAACCCCCACTTGACACAGAAGTTGACAGAGTGGTTTTTATCATCTATGGGTAAATGTATAGAAATTACTTTCAAATAGAATACGAAGGTTGTAAAAATGCATTTCTCTCAAGATAGGCTTTTACACAAATGTGCACACACACACACAACCTACTGACTCATTTCTCTTATAAATAAAGATACAAAACTCCGTAGCAAAGTGCTGTCAATCCAGGACCAAATAGATGTTTCCCTAGAACAAAAGATTTAGTTAATTTTTGAAACTCATTCTCTATAATAAAATATATTAGTAGAATAAAGGACAAAAACAGTTACCTCAGTAAACATAAGAAGCATTTGGCAAAATTCAACACCTTTTCATGATTTAAAAAAACAACAACTCAATAAACTAGGACTCAAAGACAACCTTCTCAACTTGATAAATAGTGCACCTAACATCACACTTGCCTATGACATAAACAATTAGGACGCTCTGCTGCTAGCTAAAGGGTTCCAGGGTCAAGTACACCAAGTGGCACCTTGCAAGACAAGCCTGGTGGTACATTTCCCATAACTCAGCCATTGAAAGCCCTTTGGAGCACAGCTCTACTGTGACACGTGGGGCCAACAGGAGTTGGCCTCCATTCAGTGGTCACTGGTATGCTGGCTTCGTGCCTAATGGTGAACCACTGGGTTCTTTCCTCCTAAGATCAGAAAGAAAGAAGCTGATGTCTGCACGTGCTGCCTTTATTGAGCATGGTACTTGAAGTTCTAACCAGGGCAGTTGGGCAAGAAAATGAAGTGAAAAGCTCCCAGATTGGAACGATGACTCTTGCAGATCACTGGCCAGGTAGACGGAAAATCCGAAGGAATTCTTTCAAAAAGTATTAGAACTTGTAAATGAGTTCAACAGCGCTGCAAGATACTGGAGAATACCCCAAAATCTGTTGTTTCTGCACAGTAGCCCTGGCCAATTTGAAAATAGAGACAACAGCTCCATTTGCAATAACATTAAAAATAAACAAAATACTTGGGAACCTAATTAATCAAAGAAGCACAGAGCTTATACTTTGAAAATTATGAAATATTGATGAAAAAATTAAAGACCTAAAAAGTATATAATCATCCCATGTTATTTTGTTACAGTGCAATACTCCCCAAATTAATGTACAGATTTAATGCAAGCCCTATTCAAAATCCCAGCTGGTTTCCTTGCAGAAATTGACAGACTAATCCTGAAATTTATATGGAAATGCACAGGATTCATAATAGTCCAAATAAAAAGGTAGACAACTCATACTTCTAATTTTTAAAATCATTTGATTGGGGCTCATACAACTCATCACAATCCATACATACATCAATTGTGTAAAGCACATTGGTACATTCATTGCCCTCATCATTCTCAAAACATTTGCTCTCCACCTAAGCCCCTGGCATCTGCTATACTTCTAACATTAAAACGTAATACAAAGCTACAGTAATGAAGATGTTGTGATATTGGCGTACACTCACTGACATGACTCTAGGACAGCATAGAACTACCCCTGTGGGTTTCCAAGACTAAATTTTTATGGGTGTAGAAAACAGCATCCTTCTCCTGTGGAGTGGCTGGTGGTTCCAAACTGCTGACCTTGACGTTAGCAGCTCAACTAATACCAGAGATGAACCCTCATATTTTTTTATAGACAATTGATTTTCAATAAGTATGACAAGACAGTTCACGGGGAAAGCATGGTCTTTTTAACAGATGGTGCTGGAACAACTGGAAAGCTACATGCAGAAGCACAGAGTCGGGGCCTCCTATCACATGTACCCAAAAGTAACTGCAAGAGACCAAAGCCCTCAGTGTGAGAGCTGGCGATCTGGAACAGCCTTTCTGTCGGGCAGAGAGCTCTGTGCTCTTGAATACGCTGAATCGAACTCGGTACTCGGCCAAATGGCCTCCCTGAATTGGTTCTGCGTGCAGTGTCTCTTACTCGTTCCATGACAAATCTCTCCCTGGCTTTTTCAACGTTGATGGGCGTCTTTTCTTTCTTAGTCGTTAGTCTTGTTCTGGTCTTTATATGATTATTATTTTATCCTTGTCACCTTATTTCTATTTTGTTTTTTACTGTCTGTTCGGTGTCCCAGGAGGAGTGGACACACCGTGATGATAAAGCCGATACAGGGTTGAGAGGGGATGCAGGGGCCAGGGGTGGGGGCAGGGAGGGAAAGGGACTTCAGGAGTAAACAATGAAGGTGGAGTGGGGACGGAGCACTAGAGCTGACTAGGTTTGCATAGCTCATTCAAAGGGGACAGGAGATTGTTCTGAAATGGATATAGTAATGATTGCAAATTCTCCTCGAGGTGATTAAACAATTGGACCATTGAGTTGTATGATATGTAAATACTGTGCCAATAAAACTGTTATATTAAAAAAGAATTGTTGTGAACCTTACCATCCTTTCCATCCTAGAGCTCAGCCTCTCCGCTGGGTCCCTGCAGCTGGAGCGCAAGAGGAGGGATTTCACCTCATCTGGGACGCGGAAGTTCTTCTTTGACACCCATGCCTTAGTCTGCTTACTTGAAGAAAATGGTAATCTTCGGTTACTGGTCATTGCTCAGTGTCCTGGGAAAACACTGAAGTTTTGACTGTGCTTATGGTTGTATCTCATGTCCGTTGTGGGAATTTAGACACCACAAAGAAATAGAAGAGAACATCGAAGTTCCCTAGAGCTTTTGTCACATTACAGAAACAGTTGCACCGGAGTTCTGCGTGTGTCCATTTTGCACTTGACAAGGCACTGCAAGCATTCCCTGCATCGTGGTTTTTAGCAGCTGGGAAAGGTCACTGTGCCCCAAACCAGACTCACTGCCATCATAGCAATCCCATAGGAGAGGCCGGGGCTTCAGAGGGGCTGGCGGTTGAGTAGCTGCCCAACACTACACCACCAGGGCCCCAAGTTATAGAGAGCCCAGTCAGCCCATTTTACAGGAGAGACAGACACCGAAGTATCAGGCTTGTCCAGAACGACAGACACATCACAACCTGAACCCCACATTCAGCGCCCCGCCTCCCCCGATTTACAACAGCCACCCGGCTGTGGCATCACGGCCCCTTCCTCTGAGCACGGTGGTTCTGTGTGTTCATTAGGGTTTACCACCCAGCAAGCAGAGATTGTCGTGTCTGCGCTGGTCAAGATCACAGACGCCAACTTGGACATCGTCTACAGAGATATGGTCCACAAGACGCAGCAGGTTAGCCCTGTGGGGCCCCTTAGCAAATTCGGGAGCCGGAGGGAGGATCTTCTGTGTGCTGTATGTAGTCTTCGGATAATAGTCAGCTGAAAACCTCTCGTTTTA